ACAAAGTTCTGTAGAATAGGCCCCCCAGCTAACACAGCTGGGATCTCAGTGAGCAGATGAAAAACAGGACAGCTGGACTGCCCAGAAGGGCAGAAGCCCTTCAGGTTTGGAACTTCTTTTCCTGGGCAAAAAAACCCTCTGCTCTAGGCTTCAATCTATTTATGCACTCTCCCAGCCACCTACTGGGCACCCTCCCACAGGGATTGGCTGGGCCCACATAAATATGTAAGCTGTAGATTTGACTCACCCAGTCCACTACATTCCAGAACCCTCAAGAAGACAGAGGGAAGCAGTCAAACCCCACCACCAGGGAAACCCAGAGCAGTCCAAAGCAATCACAAGCTGTTCCAATGATTACACAGGAGCTAAAGAACTAAATTTACCTAACCTAACTAGTACCTATCTAGGAGGGTGCTACACACGTGTTCCAATTGGTCCTTTAATTTGCAAAGAATTAAAGCATATTTAGATAATTTCCCTCTTAGATTGTAAGCTCCTAGGAGCAGGGCCCTCCTAACCCTCTTGTATTGCACTGTATCATTCCTGTATAGTCTCTCTTTATATTGTAAAGTGCTGAGCAAACTGTTGGCGCTATATAAATCCTGTATAATAATATAATAACTCTAATGTATGAGTTTAGATGGCAACATCAGTTGAACTGAAACATATACTAAAACATAGTTACATTATAGTTAGTCTCAGGGGCGGACTGACCATTTGGAAACTCGGGCACTGCCCGAGGGCCCGGGGTCAGTAGGGGGCCCCATAAGATGCCCATGGTACCTTTTTTCATAGGCTTTTTTGAGTTTGGGCAAGGACACAGGGGCCCCATGATCCCTATTGCCCGGTTAGTCTGGCTGAAAAAAGACAAAAGTCCATCCAGTTCAACCATTAAAAAAAAAGTTATAATCCTACACCCACAGTTGACCCAAAGGTTACTATTTTGGTATGTATAGGACTGATTATGTATAAAGTACATCGAAAGCCTCAAGGCTGAGTCTGCAAGCTTGACATTTTTGATACAGCGGCATTAACATAACTTACTTGTAATGAAGAATGCCATACATCCTGCAGGCTGATGGTTCCTGTAGAAAACTTCTCTCCATTGATTCCTGTTCCTCTTCACAGTGCTTAACTTCTGCAGGGGTTAATAACATCAAGTACATGAAGAAGGCCACTGTCCAAATCATGTAGACTTCACCTCCGCAATATCTCCAAGATACGCCCGTTCCTAACCTCGGAAACCACTAAGCAACTTATTCACTCCCTTGTTATATCTCGCCTTGACTATTGTAACTCCCTCCTTGTTGGCCTACCTAATAGCAGGCTATCCCCTCTTCAGTCTATCATGAATGCTGCTGCCAGACTCATCCACCTTACTAACCGTTCTGTATATGCCATCCCCTCTACCAATCCCTCCACTGGCTTCCTATTGCCCAACGGATAAAATTCAAAACATTAACAATAACATATAAAGCCATATATAACTCTGCCCCAAATTACATCACCGATCTCCAAATATCACCCAAACTGTACTCTCCACTCCTCGCATGACCTTCTGCTCTCTAGCTCCATTGCCTCCTCCTCCCATGCTTGTCTCCAGGACTTCTGCAGAGCTTCCCACATCCTCTGGAACTCTCTACCCCAATTTATCATACTATCGCCTGCTCACTTTTAGGCAATCTCTGAAAACCTATCTCTTCAGGGGAGCCAATCCTGCCCTCAGCTTCTACGTCTTCTACTCCTCCTACAAGTCCATCCCCCACAGTTGCTACCTTTTGTACCACTAGCCCCTCCCTCTTAGATTGTAAGCACCAAGGAGCAGGGCCCTCCTATCCCTCTTGTATTGAACTGTATTGTTACTGTATTGTCTCCCTTATATTGTAAAGCGCTGAGCAAACTGTTGGCGCTGTATAAATCCTGTATAATAATAATAATAACTGTTGGCGCTATCTAAATCCTGTATTATAATAATAATAATAATAATAATAATAATAACAAGTGCCTGCCCCTTTCTATCCTTGCCTCCATTGACAACAGTCCTTGTATTGTTTCCACAGAATGCAACACATTCTGAGAATGGAGGGGGGGGGAGGCAGGCCAATGACAGGACCCTCTCCCCCATTCAGAGAATGTGTAGAATTCTTTGAACACAATGCATGACTTTTGTCAATGGAGAAGAGGAAAGAGAGGAGCAGGTGCCCATTACGGACCTTCTTCAATGTACTTCAGTGTTGGACCTGAAGCTATAAATAGCAGCAGAGCTGGATGTTCAGCTCTGTGAAGAGGACCGGCATTACTGAAGAGAGGATTTCTTTAGGAACCATCCGCCTGCAGGATGTGGGAAATACTCCATTACAGGTAAGCTATGTGACTGCAGCTGAAATTCTTTTTAACCAAGTCAGCTTTAAAAAGAAAGATTGACAAAGCTCTCCATGGCTTCATGGTACGGGCACATCCAGCAATTAGTTCATTTGCATAGTGCTCTGGTACTCCAGGTAGGTATTTATGTGTGAAACCATTCCTGTATACCTAACTATGATTAAAAATGTTAGTAGCTGAAACATGTTAGAAGGTACTGTTGTTTTATGGATCTGGCTGATGTGGAATAAAGCATTTGGATAAGGAACATAAAGTGCCAGTTTTTATGTTCTTGTGGTTGGATATAACTAGCACAGCTTGGACCTCGATGAGTAAATGAAGAAGCACAGCTGGACTGCGCAGAAGGGCAGCAGCTATTCCGCTGGGATCTTCTCCTCCTGGATTAGTGTTTCTTCATTAGGCTTTCTTTCCTTTATTAGTGATCCAGTCAGTAAGTCTTGTTTTTTTTTTTAAAGAACAAGCTCTCTTCCAGATGTAACAAAAAAGTGCAGCGCTAAAGTCAAATAAATTGCAATGCAAAGTTCCTGTCACTAATAGCGACAATAAAATAATTGAAAGTCCCAAAGATGACAGAAAGTCCACATGAAGATCAGATGTGATCGTGAAGCATATGATCTGAAGTAGTGATAAAAAGTAAATAAATAAATTGCGCACTCAGCAGAGGTGCGTAAATAATACACCTTAGAGATATGCCTGTCTCATCAGGTGTGTGCGGGGTCATCAGTGAGGTCAGGATCCTCTATGCCTATGGGTCATGTCTCAGATATGGCACTCAGGTGTATAGCACGTTGGGAGGTCCCCCAAAGGTACAGCTTCTTCAGATGAAGGCTCTCAGTGAAGAGAGCACAATAAGGGACACCACATAGCGTGATACCGTAGGAACAGTTTTATTCGCAAATAAGTGCATACAAATATGTGCAGAGGAAAGAAAAAACACTGACCATATAGAATTCAGGATGGCCACCAGCGGTGGTAGAACGTCCAGCTACTGTAACCCTCTTTCAGATGTATCAGGGATTAGATAAACCATTTAACACTGGCAGGGGTGCTTACAATGATCAATTGTTATTTATTCATGTAAAACCTTTATTGCAAAAGGAAAAAAACTCTTTGCTGTAAGTGATTAGAACGTGTTAGCTGGAGTCTGGCTTCAATTTGTTAGCGTATTTAAATCTGCTAATACATTTAACACTCCCTTCTCCCCAGGCTGACAATGAGGCTGCCTGCTGTGCCCTCTGTGCTCCTTCATGCAGAGTGAGGCACTCTAATACAGGAGGTGTGTTAGTAGCCAGATCACCAGGTGAAAAGAGAGAGAAAAAGCCTAAAAGAGAAAGCTAATGGAGCCACCACATCTAATGTTTGGTAAGCTGCAGTATATTACATTTTGGTTTTAGGTTTTATGCTGCTGTAGCACTCTCCTAGTTAGCTAGGGGGAGCTAGATTGCAATTGTTAGGTAGGGTTGAGTAGCAGTCTGGGAGTAATAGCTAGCAGGGGGTCAAAACTGTGTTAGAGCTGAGAGGCTCTGTAGACCAGCCCTCTGGAATTTCCCCCTGCTCTGGAACTTTGGAGAAAAGTCTGGAAGCAGTAGGTGGATCTGAGGAGTGGCTGGTTTGTACTCTTGGAGGAACCTAGCCAATTCCCATCAGGAGGCTTGGCAAGGGGCCAGGACAACCTTTAAGAGCAACTGAGCCTGCTCAGCTGCCGAAGAGTAGGAGAAGGAGACTGGTGGTGGAGAGAGAGAGAGGGAACGATTCAGCTAGAAATCCTGGTAGCAGCCACCGGAAGCACAGAAGAGGGACCAAGTGAGTAAACCTGCACCCCCTGGGCCAGTAAGGGAAAAGGAGCACTCTGGTGGGAAACTGTACTAGCTTTTTACCTGGGACTGTTCACACTGTAGTGGCAAGCACTGGATCCCCTGCCCAAGGATTCACCCGGAGCTGTTGGATTAAGGAGAATCTGGGGTCTGGGGTGGTACATCAGGAGAGGCTGGCTAGCTCTTCAGAAGAGGATTATTTTTTGCTGTACAGACTTGTAAATAGTTTCAGGACGCTTGTTCTCAGTTCCAGTTCCATAGGGCATCCCGTACACCCCTTACCCCATCTAAGTTTTATTATCCCCAATAAAACATCCAAACAAGCTCAAGGACTAGTTACTGTCTCCTGAATGCAAGTCTGAATGAAAATGCGTGTAGCTTGGCTGTGCAGGACTATAGGGGGACCCAAATGTTCAGCAAATCCTAAGAGGGTAGTGTTACACGGCTTTCACCGCCTCCTGCCCACCATATAAGGTAATGATGGGCGCAAGGTGGTTCTCTCGTTCTGGGAGGTCGTCATATGACATCCTCCCACTCTAACCGCGCGTGCACGGCTCCGGGAGCGTGCAGAGGTGCAATCGGAGGTGCGCTGTGTCCCTCGGACACAGCGGATCACCGATCAATGGAAAGAGCCGAAGATGTTGGCTCGGTCATGTGATCAGCTGTGCCCAATCACAGGTGATCGCATGTAAATAGGGAAATGCCGGTTATCGGCATTTCTCTCCGCACGAGCTGTCATGCTGATAGCTCGAGAGGAGAGGAGAGCCGGTAATCGGCATTCCTCAGAGGGGACATGTACACTGATCATCAGGGCACTGATCATCAGTGTGCCCTGATGATCAGTGAAGCCCCAGCAGTGCCACCTGTCAGCGCCCATCAATGCCACATCAATGCCACATATCAGTGCCTACCAGTGCACATCAATGCCACATATCAGTGCCCATCTGAGCTTCCTTTCAGTGTCACCTATCAGTGCCAGTCCGTGCCACCCATCAGTGCTGCCAATCAATGCCACCTATCAGTGCCAGTCAGTGCCGCCTATCAGTGCACGTCAGTGCCGCCTATCAGTGCCCGTTAGTGTTGTCAGTGTTGTCAGTGTTGCCTATCAGTGCCACCTAACAGTGCCAGTCAAAGCCACCTAACAGTGCCAGTCAGTGCCACTTATCAATGCCAGTCAGTGCCGCCTATCAGTGCCATATATGAGTGCTGCCTGCTTTCAGTGCCCATCAGTGATGCCTGTCAATTCCCATCAGTGCCACCTACCAGTGCCTCCTCTTCAGTGCACATCAGTGCTACCTATCGGTGCCCATCAGTGCAGCCTATCAGTGCCCATCACTGCAGCCTCATTAGCGCACATCAGTGAAGGAGAAAAATCACTTATTTACAAAATGTTAAAACCTTTTTTTTTTCAAAATTTTCTGTTGTTTTTGGTTTGTCTCAAAAAATGGTAAAAATTTCATATGGGTACAGTGTTGCATGACCGCGCAATTCTCATTCAAAGTGTGGCAGCGCTGAAAGCTGGAAATTGGCCTGGACAGGAAGGGGGTATACGTGCCCTGTAGGCTAGTGGTTAAACGAGTACCAGTTCTACCTGCACCCTTGTATTGGTACCCTACATTGTGACCATCAGTGATTTGGTGGCTATTTGTATAGTGACACTGTTTTCCAGGTTAATTGGGTGCTCTGCAAATGAACTAAATATTTGTGCAGGCTCATGTATGTGTTTACCTACAGCTTGTTAGCAGCTTTGCAGGCCGCTTCGATTTAAGAATGCCAAAACGGAAATGGCACATGGCGATATGTCAATGAAGAAAGCAAAGAATCAGTGTTCTACAGTACTGTGTACCTTGTGCATTGTATTTCCATACTGTGTGCACAGCAAGGATAAATGTCACTGAGTAAACAGTATTACCTTGATTCCTAATGTAAAAGGTTTTATGATGTGTCATTTGTGCGCATTTGAAAATATCGGCAAAAGCTTTGCTTTATAATACAATTACAATCCGAAAAATGCACAACTCATACCCCAACATTGAATAGTTTTTTTTACTCCTCATTGGAATAGAATGAACAGTGTTTTCTGGTAATCATTTGCATAAATTCCCAGTTATTCCTCTCCATATTTCCTCTAGCAGGTATTAACCCAAAATCAACACTAAACAAAAAAAAAGAAAAAGATGAAAGAGAAGATCACACGGGCAAATAACCGTTTATATCTGATTTCTTTCTGCAGATCAAATATAAATTTTTTTTGCTTTTTTTGCCCTTGAAAATGTTTTGGGTTCTCGTTTCATGTGTGAAAAATCTGCAAGACATAAATAATAATGATACAAGGCAAACAAACTGCTCACTTTCCAACGTGCGAGCCGTTTTCGCTGTGACACTCTAGCGGGGCATAAATGAGGAGGACCAGATGTATCATGTCTTCCCGAGGGCTTATGAATAAATTAATTTCTCACACTGTGGCTCCCATGTGGCAGAACTTAATCTGCGAGTGCAGAACAATGTCTTCAGGTGATGCCTTTGGAGCGCCACACACAGACACAGACCTATATTTTAATAACCTTGCTAGCAGTATTGCAAGTGATCTTATGTCCATCTCTTGATATTCAAATCTCAGCACATAGCTGCCCTTTCCGAACTTAAAGTCATTTGGCCCCCTGTGGCCCTGTATATCTGTGCATCCTGCCCTGTTGCATATAAAAGCCTTTTTTTTTCTATTTCGATCTCTCCACTTCTCGCAAGCAGCTCTCACTATGTATTTTAATGAATTTCATATGCCGGCCCATTTCTCAAGCCTTCTGAAGAACATACTGAAAAATATATCTAGGAATACAGCATTTTTTATAAGGAGCGGTGTAAAGAAGGAATGGAGAGAAATAATATTAAAAATTCCTCCTGAAGTCATATGATGAGTACATGCTGTGCTACCTAGGGTTTGTTCCTGCCAGTATGAACTGTAAGGTCACAGCGATCTTCATTTCATCTATTGCAGCCACATTTTCCTTCACAGTGAAGGTCACAGCTTCTTGAAGTGCAGTGGATGAACACAGATTTTATAGGATGACTTTCAACAAAGTGCTATTGCAGCATCTTTGATTAGATAGCATGTCAAACTCAATAATATTTTGAAAAAAAATATATTGAAATTCATTGAGTCCCTCCCGTATATACAGCTTTTTAAAAGTTATAGCAAACAGAAAGTCATAAATTTGTAATTGTAGGTTGTTCTTCTGTACACTTAAGGCCATCTAGGAACTATTTTCAACACACTTGTGTGCTCTGTTGGATCCATCACTGAGATGGCATCTGTAATATCAAAAGGCTGCCACCAGATAGGAGTATTCAGAGGTCAACATTGGTTTCTGTGCTAGTAAAGGCTTTGGTTGACCTTTTCTGTGAAAAAAGCGATTGCTGGCTTGGCCCGGGTATGTTTTAAGTGGTGACAAAACAAAAATTTTCCATCAAGATGAGGGCACGCCATCACAGTGAAGGTCACAGCTTCTTGAAGTGCAGTGGATGAACACAGATTTTATAAGATGACTTTGAACAAAGTTCTACTGCAGCATCTTTCATTTAGATAGTATGTCAAACACAATAAGATTTTGAAAAAAAAAATTGCTGAAATTCATTGAGTTCCTCCCACATATATATATACAACTTTTTAAAAGTTATAGCAAGCACAAAGTCATACATTTGTAATCATAGGCTGTTCCTCCGCATACTGAAGGCCATGTAGGATGCACTTGTTTACTCTGTTGGATCCATCACTGAGATGACATTTTTAATATCAGAAGATTTCCATAAGACAGGAATATTCAGAAGTCAGCATTGGTTTCTGTGCTAGTGAAGGCTTTGGTTGACCTTTGCTGTGAACAAAGAAGCTGCCGGCTTAGTCCAGGTGCGTTTTAAGCAATGAAAAACAAGCATTTTTCACCAGGGTGGGGGCTGCCATCACACCACTGTTATGAAATCTGATGAGCAGGGGTGTGAAAATAATTTGCAATTCATCTTGGCCCAGATCCATTTTTTAACGGTGGGTGAAAACATAACCAATTTCTACCATGTTGGGGGGGGGGGGGGACACCATCACCTTGAAGGTCACAGCTTCTTGAAGAGCACTGAATGAACACAGATTTTATAGGATGACTTTGAATAAAGTGCTACTGCACCTTTGATTAGATACTATGTCAGACGCAATAATATTTCTAAAAAAAAAATAGTTAAACTTTTTAAAATTATAGCAAACAAAAAGTTTTAGATTTGGAATTGTAGGTTGTTCCTCTGCTCACTCAAAGCCATCTAGGACCTACTTTCAGTGCACGTGTTAGCTCTGTTGGATCCATTCCTAAAGTAACTTCTTAAATATCAGAAGGTTTCCATAGGATAGGATTCAGAGTCCAACATTGGTAAGATGACTTTGAACAAAGTTCTACTGCAGCATCTTTCATTTAGATAGTATGTCAAACACAATAAGATTTTGAAAAAAAAAAATAGCTGAAATTCATTGAGTTCCTCCCGCATATTTATACAATTTTTTAAAACTTATAGCAAGCACAAAGTCATACATTTGTAATCATAGGCTGTTCCTCCGCATACTGAAGGCCATGTAGGATGCACTTGTTTACTCTGTTGGATCCATCACTGAGATGACATTTTTAATATCAGAAGATTTCCATAAGACAGGAATATTCAGAAGTCAGCATTGGTTTCTGTGCTAGTGAAGACTTTGGTTGACTTTTACTGTAAACAAAGAAGCTGGTCCAGGCGTGTTTTTAAGCAATAACAAAACAAGCATTTTCCACCAGGGTGGGGGTCCACATCACACCACTGTTATAATAATTTGTAATTCATCTTGGCCCAGGTCCATTTTTAACAGTAACAAAATAAGCATTTTCCAAGATGGTGGGGCACATCACTGTGAAGATCACAGCTTTTTGCGGTGTAATGGATAGTTACATATATAGTTAGTCTGGCTGAAAAAAGACAAGAGTCCATCCAGTTCAACCATAGAAAAAAAAAGTTATAATCCTATACCCACAGTTGATCCAGAGGAAGGCAAAAAAACCCCAGCAAAGCATGATCCAATTTGCTCCTGCTGGGAGAAAAAATTCCTTCATGATCCCCCGAGAGGCAATCGGATATTCCCGGGATCAACGTTACCTATGAATGTTAGTATCCAGTTATATTCTGTGTATCTAACAAAGAATCCAGGACTTTTTTGAAGCAATCCACTGAGCTCGCCAGAACCAACTCTTGAGGGAGTCTATTCCACATTTTCACAGCTCTCACTGTGAAGAAACCTTTCCGTGTTTGGAGATTAAATTTCTTTTCCTCCAGACGTAAAGAGTGCCCCCTTGTCCTCTGTGATGACCTCAAGGTGAATAACTCTACACCGAGTTCACTATATGAACCACTGAAGTATTTATACATGGAGATCATATCCCCCCTTAATCTCCTTTTCTCAAGAGAGAATAAATTCAGTTCCTCTAATCTTTCCTCATAGCTGAGCTCCTCCATGCCTCTTATCAGTTTGGTTGCCCTTCTCTGTACTTTCTCCAGTTCCCCAATGTTCTTTTTGTGAATTGGTGCCAAAAACTGAACTGCATATTCCAGATGAGGTCTTACTAATGATTTGTACAGGGGCAATATGATATCTCTCTCTCTGGAGTCTATATCTCTTTTAATACAAGAGAGGATTTTGCTCGCTTTTGAGACCGCAGCTTGGCATTGCATGCCATTATTAAGCTTGTGATCTACCAGAACTCCCAGATCCCTTCTCCACCATTGATTCCCCCAGTTATACCCCCCCTAGTATGTATGATGCATGCATATTCTTAGCCCCCAAGTGCAGAACCTTACATTTATCAACATTAAACCTCATTTGCCACATAGTTGCCCAATTAAACAGTGCATTGAGGTCGGCTTGTAAATTGAAGACATCCTGCACAGATTATACAGGGTGACTTTGAACAAAGTGTTACTTGATTAAAGAGTATATCCAGGGGTGGACTGACAACTCATGGGGCCCCCGGGTAATAGGGGATCATGGGGCCCCTGTGTCCTTTGCCCAAACTCAAAAAAGCCTATGAAAAAGGTACCGGGGCATCTCATGGGGCCTCCTACTGACCCTGGGACCTCGGGCAGTGCCCGAGTTTCCAAATGGTCAGTCTGCCCCTGAGTATATCACATAATCTTAGTAATCTTAATCTTGTAAAATTAGTAGGTCCTAGATGGGCTCTGCACATCAAGGCCATCTAGAACCTATCTAGAACCTACTTTCAAAGCACTTGTTTGCTCTGTTGGGTCCAGCACTGAGATCCATGGGTCAGAATTGGTTTCTGTGCTAGTGAAGGCTTTGGCTGACTTTTGCTGTAAAGAAAGCAGCTGTCGGCTT